CCTGCATGGGTTAATTAAGAGGTTCCTCGTTCCAAGCAACTTGCCCACCTCAGTCCAAGCTGCCTCCATCCCTTACTCAGTTAGAACTGTAAACTTTGTCCTGTTTGGTCAGCTCTCTACACTAATAAGGAAGAAATCCTGGATCCACTATGACTCTAAAAAGTGTTGCTCAATCTGTCCCTGAGATACCTTCATGCTGATTATTTAGTGCGACTGGACTCGGGCCTGTTCATAAATCACGACGCATCGTCAAGCAGCTGCTCAGTGGCCTCATTCGTGAACATCTCACTCAGTGCCAGATCAGAGACTCTCCAAATTGAATTTTTGGGGCCTGAAGATTTGTGACAATACATTGGGAAGGTGGCCTTATAGGGCTCTTGTTCTGAAGCGAACTTTGCAAAGTAAGACAAATCTCTTGAGTATTGGCAAATTGATGTTTCATCCCCAGAATGGGCTGTGTTTACTTTACTTGTTAAGTCAATTTTCAAAAGCATTGCAAACTTCACATGATTTAAAAATTGAAGCTCTTCAAGAGGTCACGTGAAAATATGCATTCAAGAGAGTCTCAATGTCCTTGGTACACTGGCGTTAGTTAAGTCAATACTTGATTTTTTTTTCATGGTATTAACTTTTTTTGAAAAGTAGGACAGATTAATTTAGAAAGTTGTACATAGCCTCTTGTTTGGGTATTGACCTCATCTTGCTTATAAGACTGAAATATGTCTCTTTCCGGTCCCAGGCGCTTCGGCAGCCGCGGGTTACGGTGCAGACATGGCCAAGTCCAAGAACCACACCACGCACAACCAGTCCCGAAAATGGCACAGAAATGGCATCAAGAAACCGTGATCACAAAGATACGAGTCTCTGAAAGGGGTGGACCCCAAGTTCCTAAGGAACATGCGTTTTGCCAAGAAGCACAACAAGAAGGGCCTGAAGAAGATGCAGGCCAACAACGCCAAGGCTATGGCTGCGCGTGCTGAAGCTATCAAGGCCCTGGTCAAGCCTAAGGAGGTAAAGCCCACGATCCCGAAGGGTGTCAGCCGGAAGCTCGATCGGCTTGCCTACATTGCCCACCCCAAGCTCGGAAGGCGTGCCCGTGCCCGCATTGCTAGGGGTCTCAGGCTGTCCCGGCCACAGACCAAGGCAAAGGCCAAGACTGAGCCCCAAATCAAGGGCAAGGTCAAGGCTCAAATCAAGGCCCAAGCTCAAGCTCAAATCAAGAGCAAGGGCAAAGGCAAGGCCCAGGCTGAAACCAAGCCCAAAGCCCAGGCTGAAACCAAGCCCAAGGCCCAGGCCCAAGCCAAACCCAAAGCTCAGGCCCAAGGCAAGCCCAAGGCCCAGGCCCAAGCCAAACCCAAGGCTCAGGCCCAAGCCAAGCCCAAGGCCCAGGCCACACCTGCAGCCCCAGTTCTGGCTCAGGCTCCTCCCAAAGGCGCCCAGCCCCCCGCAAAGGCTCCCTAGTAACAGCCTTTGCCTGCCAATGCAAGGGCAGAAGGACTGGTGTGACCCCTGGGCTGCTGTCTGCGTGGGGCTAGCGTCCTCCTGTGCTGTTTGTACAAATAAACCCAAGACAGGGAAAAAAAAAAAAAAGACTGAAATATGTCCGATCTATATTTTTACTTCTAACTGAACATTTTTGAAGATTTGTTTACTTATTTGAAAGCAGAGTTAGAGAGGGAGAGGGCGAGAACGAGAGAGAGATTCTATCCATTGGTTCACTCCCCAAAATGGACACACTGGCCAATTAGAGGTAGGCCAATCCGAAGATAGAATCCAGGAGGTTGGGTCTCCAACATAGTGGCAGGGGCCCAAGTACTTGGACCGCCTTCCCTTGCCTTCTGAGGCATATTAGCATGGAGCTGGATTAGAAGTGGAGCTGCCAGAACTCAAATCAGTGCCCATATGGCATGCCGATGATGCAAGCAGTGGCTATGCTACAACACCAGTCCCACTTCTAAATAAAATTTAAAATAAAAATGAAAAGAAATATCTCCTCATGCGATCTATACCATTTAATGGCATAATCTGGTGAAGTACTCCAGCATATTTTACATAATTCTGAGATGTATTTGTTCAATACCTGAATCTTTGAAGGATATTCCTACACAGAGAGTGTTTGGCATTATTTACAATATTTATACATACAGTTGATGTTATTAATGTTTTTATTTCCTTTTATATTTAGCAACATGGGAGTTCAACAATAGGGTTTAATATTTGTACAGGTGGGTCTGATGATGTTCACATGTAAGAGAGGAAAGAAAATTAATGCTTTGAAAAGTAAAAAATAATAATAGGGGCCGACACTGTGGCACAGCAGGTTAACACCCTGGCCTTAAGCTCCAGCATCCCTTATGAGTGCTGGTTCGAGCCCCGGCTGCTCCCCTTCCAATCCAACTCTCTGCTATGGCTTGGGAAAGCAGTAGAAGATGGCCCAACTCCTTGGGTCCCTGCACCCACATGGGAGACCCGGAAGAAGCTCCTGGCTCCTGGTTTGGATTGGCACAGCTCCGGTCATTGCAGCCAATTGAGGAGTGAACCATAGGATGGAAGACCATTCTCTCTCTGTCTCTGTCTCTTTCTCTCTCTCTGCCGCTCCTCTCTCTGTGTAACTCTGACTTTCAAATAAATAAATAAATCTTAAAAAATAATATCAAAAGAGAAACAATGTACAGTTTTGCAATGACATCGTGCTAGGAATAACTCTATCTTTGAATTAGAGTAACTGCCAGTTTTACATCATGGGAGCTTGGGTCAGACTATGTGAACCTCAACCTCTTGTTCATGAAGATGTTAGTGTCAAATCATCAGTTTACAGATTCTCTCTCACACAGATTTACATTTGCATACATATGTGGTACATGATACGCTTTCATTAGCTGTTAATTTCTCAATATTATTACAGCACACGCTCCTTATTCCACAAGGTTGTCATACATGACTGATCATGATGTTCCTGCAAGACATGAGTGCATTTTGCTCTTCAAACAGAAAGTTACAATGGTCTGTCCTCAACTCCTCTTTCCTCCTAGTATTTGTAGCCTTCGGGTTCACCATGAAACTGCTTCTCTCTGAGCCTTGCAGACCTTCTGGGTTTCTTGGTGAGGCTGCAGCTGGAACTCAGTGTCCTTTTACACAGAGTGGCCCCTGGTCTTTGCTCGCCACACATCCAGCACCTTTTACCTGCCTAGCAATGTCAATATCATTTGAGGTGTAAAGTAGGGCTGAAGATGGCCTCTCCCTATGTCTTCAATTATAGGAGCCCTTGTAATTGTTCAGTTCTTTTAATAACCATCTCAAAATTAGCAGCATGTATGTTAGGCATAGGGGCTTCATGGGCATGTATAAGAGACCCCACTTTTAGGGGGCTTGGGATTTTTTTGAAGCACAAGTAAATCACCACCAAGGACAAAGGTGAAAGCAGCCTTCTGCCAGCTGCTCATGAGCTCAGAGAGATTATCATCCTTGAAACACACAGTCTGACTTGGAGAGCAGGCTGAAAGCAGGTCATTTGGCTCCAAAGAAAATGAAACTGGAGGTTTTTAAAAAAATTGAGACAAAATAACTCAAAACTGCAATACTCTCTGAGAAACATCAGCTCAGATTGAAACTGCCAGAGAAAACAAATAACCCCACCTTTATTTGTCCCTTTAAAATAGACAAAAGCTGGAGATTGCCCCCTCAAAATGGAAGGTGTCATTATTTCTCATTTCAAACTCAAAAACAAACCTAACCAAAGCCTGTACAAATTTGTGGGGACTTCAAGACTGAGAGAAACACAGAACAGTACCCCAAAGTCTATTATTAAAATGGAGAAACCCCAAAATATTACAACCTAATATTACAACCTAATATTACAAACAATCCAGAATAAATATGGCAGCAGCAATATTCTAAAGACTGATTAGTCTATCCTAACACTCGGCTTTCAGTTAGTATTATTTTCTATTAGAAACTCAAGGGATGAGTAGACAATGTACAAATAACAACTATCTAAAATCAAAGCTTTTTTTTTCTCAAGGAAGTGAAACCATCACAGAAATATGCAGTTTCAGACAACGGTAATTTGACATTTCCATTGTGGTTGATTTAAAGAGAGGGGACCAAGATTTTCAGAAAGAGAGATTGAGCTATCAAGCACCAAATCTTCCCGTGATATGTGCATTTAGAAAAAAATGGTGAGATTTTTGCCAAAATGAAAGTAACAGTTTTATAAACTAAGACACTCTTAGTCAGTGACTGCATTTCTGAAGCTGCATCCAGGTGACTTCTGCTACCTGCCGGTCCTGCCCCCTTCTCTCACTGAGTAATTCACAAGCCGCCTGAGCAGTGTGGGGTTGGACGGGGGAAGCAAAATTCTGCTTCACAACGTGGAGAAAATGGTGCTTTACCTCCAAACTGAAGGTTGTTTACAGTGACAGCCTGATTTTAACTCTTTCACTCTTTCAATGGTTTTCTTTAAATCAGGCTAGAGTTTTTTTTGTTGCTTTTTTTTTTTTTTTTTTTTAGATTTCCATGTCAGGATTCACACATAGGCAAGCTTTGGTCAGGTGACATAACTGAGCTGGTATATAAAGTGCCTGGCATACAAGACATAAACAAACAAGTAAACAAATAAATAAGCAAACTCAATCTCTTTAACAGAATACTTCCCAAACTTCAAGGGGCTATGAATTTAAAAGAGAGTGTGCACTTTTCCATGAACTTTCTAAAGAGCCCTAGTGTTTGTCCAGATTCTGAAGATGAGAGAACTGAGACTCAGGTCAGTGAATTACCCAAGTTTCCAGGGAAGGAGAAGCAGTTTTTGCAGGAGACATCCTAGCTTCCCGAGGAGCGAGCAGTGCTGAAGAGCACACTTGCATATGTCTGATTATTTCCGGAGGTATACTCCACAGTTATTAAGTTCCTGACAATCTGCACATGGGAAAATGACAGAGCCATTCACTGGTTACCACGAGCACATCCCAGCTTTATTCATCAGAAGAAAGAAGACATCCTACCCAGATGCCGTCTTCTTGCTTGTACTGCTTCCAGTTGCGCCCCGTGTCACTGAACATCAGGCTGTAGCTCGTCACCCAGTCGGAGCTTCCGTATCTTCCCTGCGTGGCCACTGCTGTAATCTCCACTCGGTTCCCCAGGTCCATCTGGAGCCACTGCTGGGCATTAGAGTCAGCTGGGGACCAACCACCAGTTCCTGATTGAGAGCAGAAACAGAGAGAGAGAGTGGTAGT